CACATCTTTTTTAAAATGCGGCGCCCAGAACTGGACACAATACTCCAGCTGAGGCCTAACCAGAGCAGAGTAGAGGGGTATGGAGTGTATAGGCACAACCCAAGAGTAGGATAATAGAGCTTTGTTAGCATGTTTGGATTTTCAGTTCAGGATACTCCTTTTTCTTAACTATTCTTCTCTGTACTCTCAACCTGTATCCTTGGGAGATGTGATAGAATCTGACTGAGTCCCTCCTGGTTTCAACCTGTTTCTCCTTTTACATGCAAGTTTATTTTGTTTACAATATAAACTCTTCAGAACAGGGACACTGTCAAAATAGCTATGTACATGAACATTCTGAGACTGGGCTAACATCATCATAGCAGCAACAGCAGAAATCTTTTACAGCAAACACCCAGCTATAGCAGTAGAAGGGGGGAAAGAGAGACAGCCTGTGTTTTCTCACACCCCAGGACCTGGCATGTGGACCAAGTGGCCAATATACCTTTCTGGAGGCACTCATGGGAGAGGAAACATGCCAGGCTCCCCCCTCCATAAATGCCTACCCAACAGCCCTAGCACATGGCCCAGCATCCCTTTCCAACCTCTCAGGGCACTACATGGGCCTGGAGTTCCCCATAACTCCTGGAGGAGAGTGTGGGGAGAGAGCTGGGCTAGCCTATCCTCCATCTGCTCTCCAGAACCTACCCCCAAGACCTAGTACTTGGACCCAATGGTCCTCCTTCCTCTGGAATAAATGCCTGCTCCTGCTTCTAGTATGTAGTTAGTCCAGTAACTCAAGTGGTGAAGGTCTGTGGTTCAAATTGTGGTGCTGATGGCATTTATAACTGCTTGTTGCATGTAATTAAACTTGTTTTTACCTTTTTCCTACCCCCTCCCCACCAAACCCTAGGAAATTACATACCAAAAATTACATTAGAGGGATATTACTTAGGTTGCAAAGTCAAGCACTTGAAAGTTAGGAAATACTAGTTTTTTATGGTTGCCTACACAGCCTAAATCCAGCCCCCTTCTTCATATGCTTTAAGATAGTCTTTATGAAGTGATCACAATTTTTTTTCTCATAAGACCCCTGCCTTATTCAGTGCACAGGATCAGACCTCCCAATAGTCTTGGGTTTCATGGGACCTAAGTTCACTCTAAGCTGTGCGGCCGCACAGCAGGCTATAAAGGACCGCGCAGGCATGCAGCCACAGGGGTGTGGGGAGAGGAGAGAGGTAGGCAGGGAGGGGAGCAAGTTGGGGCGTGCAGGGCTGCCGCAGGGAGAGGTGCCGCTCCCCTGGCCCCAGAGCTCCTGCTGATGGGGAGAAGCACCTCTCTCCAAGAGCTGCTGCCAGTGGGGAGAGGGCTGGGGGGCTCTGGCCCCAGCCCTGGGGCAGCCTGCACCCCAAACTCCTCATCCCCGGCCCCACTCCACAGCAGGCACCCCTACCTGGAGCCCTCGCCCCTGCACCCAAACCCTCTGCCCCAGCCCTGAGCCCCCTCTTGCACCCCAGAGCCCTCACCCCCAGCCAGAGCCCTCACCCCCCCCCACACCCCAACCCTCTGCCCTGGTCCTGAGCCCGTCCACGCACACTCTGAACCCCCCAGCCCCATCCCCACCACATGTCACCTCCATATTGCTGCACATAACAAAATTCATTCCACACATGGATATAAAAAATTAGAGGAAACATTGCATGGGACTGTCCTGCTTTGACCCCCCAAACTCCCAGTCCTGGTTGAAATCGCTCTTGTCCCATAGGGCTGGCTGGGCTTGGCACCCCTCTCTGGTTTGGGCCATCTGATCCTCCATCTCCATCTACAGTGGGGCAGATAGGCCAAACCTGAGCGGTGCTGCAACCTCAAGCACCAGGGACCATAGACACCAACTTCTCCTGGTGCCGATGGATGCTCAACCCCGGCCCCGCCCTAACTCCACCCCAGCCCCGCCCTCATTCCAACCCCTTCCCCAAAGTTCCTGCCCCAACTCCGCCCCCTCCCTGCCACATTGGACTCCTTCCCCAAATCCCTGCCTCTTCCCCTCCTCCTCCTCTGAGCACGCCACATTCCCGCTCTTCCCCCTCCCTCCCACAGCTTGTTATGCCGTGAAACAGCTGTTTTGCTGCAGCAAGTGCTATGAGAAGAAGTGGGACGCGGCGCGCTCAGGGGAGGAGGCGGAGGTGAGGTGAGCTGGGGTGGGGAATTTGGCTGCCGCTGGTGCAGAGCACCCACCAATTTTTCCCTGTGGGTACTCCAGCCCTGGAGCACCCACGGAGTCGGCGCCTATGCCAGGGACCAGGTCACAACACCAAGAGCAGGGAGCCTAGCACAGGCAGCCCCTTGGGGCAGGAACCACTGCTGCAGGGTGAATGCAGGTCAGGCTCACTCTGCAACACACACCCCGATCCCTCCTCTCCTTCCCCCCGGGGCAGCACCAGTTCTATGTTAGCCATTTCAACTGTTGGGAGATACGCGAGGTGGAAGCAGAATTAAGTCTACATAAGCATTCATAAATCTGGCATTTCCTAACTTTTGAGTGCTTAACTGCAATGTAAATAATATTCCTTTAATGTTGGGGGTCTTTTGTTTAATTCTTTTAGTACCAAAAGTGAATGTTCCTCAGTTTACTGTTTTACCAATTTCGTCTATGCTTTGAGACTTACTGATTTCAGATTATGATTTGAGGCTTTTGTGCCTTACACTTAAACCTTTTGGTAGCTGATTTATCAGTGATCTGGAAACATGCATTCAGGGTTGGGATTATGGTGCCAGAACTATGAGGAGCCCAGATCAATACAATTTAAGTCTGACTTCGCCTGAAACTGACCTTTAGGGATGTAGTGGAAAGTAGTGCTACTGTTAGGTATATACTTTTGCTGTGTCTGGCTCCTAATTCAGATTGAAATGAATAGGTGTAAAGAGCAGAGAGGAAAAAGAGATGCTAAGGGAAACAACTGAGTTTGCTGGAGACTTGAATCCTGAATCTGATCCAGGGCCCCTCCCTGTATTTTTTTTTTTTTTAAATACATGCATTGATAAGCATTTTAATATCCTGGAAATAAGCAAGTCTTCTCTTTCTTCTTTTCCTTTAAATTAAGAGAGAGAGAGAGAGAGAGTGTGTGTGTGTGTGATTCAGATGAACAACAACAAACAAGATTTCAAACCCTTTTTCTTCTGTTTTCTTGAAGATTAGGGATAATTTTTATAACAAGTGCAGATTCCAATCAGTGTCTCATTTTTTTGCCCTTTCTTTTCCTTCTTTGTTTTCCTCAGGAGGAAAAAAACGGCCAGAAGGCATCAGAGGCCAAGGAGGTGAAACTATATGCCCAAGTTCCTCCTGTAGAGAAGATGGATGCATCTCTGTCCACACTTGTTAACTGCGAGTAAGTTCTGTTAAACAAACAAACAAACCTGGAAATAGTCAATTTTTAATCATTGCTTCTGGTTTTTTGAAGTCTAGGTTTTCTCTCCCCCTACCTCTAGATGTGAGCAAAATATCTCTTCAGTCCAACACCATTCCTTTCTCCTAAGCTCTGTTCTTTCTCCCATAGAAACATACAGATGCTCTTCTGCTTAGTAATATCATTGCCACTTACTTGAGAAGACAGAACCTAGTTCTCTCAGACATTAACGCAAACTCAGCGTTAATACCAGTCCATTGAATGGCTGGTAGATGGCATTGAAGTGAATAATTTCTGTCCCATGTCTGGAGTCCACCAGGCTGTGGACGAGCATGTGGTCCCTTTAGAGACTCCTGCACTGTTGTGGCTGCGTAACCTCTTTGTGTGAAATTGTGAGCCAAAGTCTACACCACCACATCCAGATGCTCAGGCTTTCTCTAGGAACTGCTGTTCAGAAATAAAAGTCTTGAGGTTCAATCTCATATGGTAATAGTACCGAAATTCATTTGCTGCAGTATTACTTTCTTAACAGCATAATGACTGACTGGTCCTGAGGTCCTGGGTCTCCACAGGACTAGAAATTCTAGTATTAGGGCCTAGAGCATCCATGACAGCTCATAGTGCTGCTGTTCCTGGCATTGCTCTTGACCAAAATATCTCCAAGAGAAACACTGTAATGTTAGCTCCATCTGAATGAGGAAAGAGGAGGACAAAATAGAGCTAATTGGTAGTGTCAGAAAGAAAAGTTTGGGAAATATTGTAACCTGTCTTTGGTTTGAGCCAGGCACACAAAGGAGGATGCCACACATATGTTATAAAATTGGTGGTGGAATCCCAAAAAAGTGAAATTTAAATCTTACAGAGATGCGTGATTTGAGGAGAACAGGACTGTGCATGTATCCAGAGGTTTACTACATAATAAGAGAAGAGTAAAATGTGATTTCATTCTAACAAAATGTTATTTGTAAGAGGGCCTTCTTCTGATTCAGTGATTCCTGTTGCGCTGTTAATATAAGCTGTTAATTATTCTTGCTTTTAAAGGAAGTTGTCTCTGTCTACAAACTGCATTGAAAAAATCGCCAACCTGAACGGCCTAAGTAAGTGATATGTCAATGACTGATTGTGTTTATATTCCAGCTGCTTGGATTAGATATGTTCCATAGCTTGTGACACATGGCCAACTATTGACATCCTGTTCTGATATCACCTTCCATTCCCCCGCTTCCAAAAAAATAAATAAATAAAGGGGACTCACCAGGAAGGTGGAAGACTTTGATTCCAGTCCCCATTTCACAACAAGCAAAATGGGGATTTGAACCTACATCTTCGTTGAGTGCTTTAACCAATGGGCCATTGGCTATAAGGAGGTACTGTTGGCTCCATTTTCCTTAAGAAAGTGCTGACCTGGCTGAGGCACCTAACTCTATGAGAGAGTTCAGGACTGTAAATTCTGAGTGGTGGGGAGATGCCTCCCTCCAGCCTGGACTTATGTGCCTCGCTCCCTTTGAGGGGTGAGGCTTAGGCCAGGTTGAATCATTTAATTGTGTTTTATTTAATGTCATTGGGGAAAAACTTGCTTCCTGCAAAGTTTGGGATTTCTGAGTACAAGAGTATTTAAGGAGTAATATTTTCCCCAATTGGACATCATTTCAGGTAACATCAGTTCACCAATTTTATATTTTAAGGTTTATAATAACTGAACAGATACTCAAAAGGCCAATGTTACGTGCTTTTGGAAAAGTATCCATAGTTTCTAATCATGGTTTCAAAGAACATGAGGATAATTTGGCTAGATCAGAGGTAGGCAACCTATGGCACGTGTGCCGAAGGCGGCATGTGAGCTGATTTTCAGTGGCACTCACACTGCCCAGGTCCTGGCCACTCATCTGGGGAGCTCTGCATTTTAATTTAATTTTAAATGAAGCTTCTTAAACATTTTTAAAACCTTATTTACTTTACATACAACAACAGTTATATATTATAGACTTATAGAAAGAGACCTTCTAAAAACATTAAAATGTATTACTGGCACGCGAAACTTTAAATTAGAGTGAATAAATGAAGACTCGGCACACGACTTCTGAAAGGTTGCCGACCCCTGGGCTAGATCAAGAGTCTTTTTCCAGGGGATGGGGAGTTTGGGAAATTCAAGGTAACATGATTCCAATAGGTTTCAGGTTTACTGTATTTTGAGTGGCATTTACTTTTTCCCTTCCAAAGACGTCACCTAACTATCTTTTGACATTACACCCTATCGTGTTCTTCACACAAGAAAGTAATGTGTCCAGGACTTGCACAGATCCTGGGATTTCATTAAGAATTCTAGTTACACTTGAATTTCTTCATGAAAGTCCATCTATTTCCCCTTCTCCTCCACCTCCTGTATATAGGTCTTCTGTGATCACAGCCTTCCTTTACTTACAGGTGTGGCTGGCCAGGACAGGTCACTGTTGACCAACCCAAAGCCCATCCCAGCCACTCTAAACAGCTGATGTGCTTTCTCTGCAGCACCCATTGGTTCTTGAGTGGAATATTCATTTGCCTCATCATTAAATAGTACATACTGTATTTTTCATCATTGTGCAAACAGGAGAAAAACAAGATCATTAGGTAATTAATGCCTAGTTCAAATGCACACGGTGAGAAAGGGCTTGAAATAGCCATGGAAACTACTGATTAGAGGTTCATCTAACTAGACATTATAGAATGATTTTGTGCATGCATATATCTGGAAGAACAGCTGGAAATGAAGTTTCACAAAAAAGAGTCTTTGTGATAGCTTCAGATGTTCTGGCACATCACAAGAACAATTTGTGGCTGAACAGGTATAGGCAATTTGAAAATAAATCTCATCAGTGTGTCTGTATTGCTACTAGAATCTCACGGGCCAAAATAGTTGACCTCTTTCTAATCAGACACTGGTTGCTATAAAGTAACAGCAGGTATTGCCTCCTATTCAGGAATTGAGTCTGCATCCTTAGTAAGATCAGGACCAAAAATTTAATCTTGCTTCACGCACATGAGCACTAGAACGGCAGCCTGTTTTGCCTGTTCACATCCCTACCTGGACTGGATGTGAACAGGCAGCCTACAGATGAAAAACTTTCTAATACCCATACTTGAGCCATCAACTCCACCCATTCATTACAATCTATATATAGAACAGTATGTAGTTTGCTTCTGATATGTCATTCTTCCTTAATATAGCCTGTTCAGAATATAAACCTCTCTTGTCTGTGGTATGCAGTATGTTGTCAGATTTCCAACAGCTCTTTACATTTTAAGCACCAGTCATTTGTTAATAAGAAGCTCTTCTCCCTCCATTGCAGAAAACTTGCGGATTCTTTCATTGGGGAGAAACAACATAAAGAACCTGAATGGGCTGGTACGTCCCTTTTTGTAGTTTACATTTATTAAAATTAGCAATGAAGTGCTACATAATTCTTGCATCAAGGCATAGGGGAAGAGTGTTTTACCTACCCTTGCATCTCTAGTCACATAATTCAACCTTAGTGCCTAACAATTTATTTTGTTTTCTTCTGCTGCCATCTTTGCACCTTCCTACATGTTGCTCATGATGCTTGGAGCAGTCTCCCATTTCCCTTGTGCCAGTCAACCACCTCTCTTCACTGAAATCTCTCCTTCAAATGCCCTCCCTCTTTACAGACTTTAAATGCTAATCCACCAAATAAAACATTTAAATCCCCCAATAAGCTTAAGAGGAACATTTTTCTTTTTAAATATGCATTATCTGCTACCCTTATTGTCTCACTCAGCCAACTTTCCCAGACTCCTTTGCTATTGCTTTTGTTGTTTTTCTAACCTGGGATATAATCTTGTAAGGCCTTCCACACACAATTCCCATAACATGAGATTCTGCACACAAGAGTGGGCTCTTAGATTGTAAGATCCATTGGTAAAAAATGCAGATTCTCTATCTATGTAAAGCACCATAAACTCCGTGGCATTATATGAATTATAACTTCTACTCCCTTTGCTTATATGAATCTCATCTCCCGCCAGAAGGTGCTATTGGTATTGTGGTCAATCACTGCACACATTGGCCTGCCTATAAACCACATTGTGACTCTCTACCCATCAGAGGGGTGATTGGCACACTGAACAATGGGATAAAAGGCATGTGGCAAAGAGGCAAGGGTAGAAATATATATAACAAGGCAAAGATCTAGAGGAGAGGAAGCAGATCAGGGTCAATTTTATTACCTTTGTGTTAAGATGTCTGTATAATTAAAACCAAAGAAATAAAGGAAAGAGTTTGTTCTTCAAGAGCTTCTGTGCATTCCTGCTTGCAGGATATGGCTTTTCCAGGCAGTTCCTCCACTCAACACCAGGGCTGCTGTATCCCACAGGTGTGAATGCACAGTGGAGACTCTGAAGGAACAACAGTTATGGTTGTTTCTTTCTTCTCTTGCTGGAGGATTGCTGAGGATAGAAAGTGAAATTTGAAACCTGCAGATATAAGCATGCACTTGTCTGAAACTATCCAATCCCTTATATTACATACTAAACCCTCTAAAACAATTGATGAACTGCAGTCGTCTAGCACTGTAGAACTCACGGCATGCAGCTAAAATAGCTCCTTTCTCTCCATATGCCTTGAGTAGAACTCTGCTCAATATATCTTGCTCGTGTCTTAATTTATTTTTCTAAACAAGCTGAGAAATGTATTTCAAAACTTGGGATTTTCTTTCCTTGAAGTTTTGTCATCCAGAATTAGGAACCTGCTTAAAAGAAAACAAGGAATATTGAAAGATATGGTTCTGTTTGTTGTGTGACATAGCATCTGGAGGGGAGAAAGGGAGCAGAGATAATCTGGGAAATATAGGAAGACTTACTCTCACTTTTCTGAGAGGTGTTATCATTTTCCAGGAGGCAGTTGGAGATACATTAGAGGAACTGTGGATCTCCTACAACTTAATTGAGAAGCTGAAGGGCATCCATGTCATGAAGAAGCTGAAGATTCTCTATATGTCCAATAATTTGGTGAAAGATTGGGGTAAGCCTAGGCTCCTAGTTTCTCTTCTGAAGTTTCTTACTGAGTATGGTGAATGTGCATCAGCTGAGACAGCTTGGGTCAAAGTGAGGAAATTGGCTCCTAAGGTTCTGAGTGGGCAAGTTTAGCATGGAGACTGCAGAGATGAACAAGCTGTTCAGATTGCCTGCTCATACAAGAGAATGTAAAAAATATTGAGAGTCTGTTTATTCAACTTCTGTGTCATGTGGGGTTTGTTCTTTGAACTATGTATCTGACTCATTGCTTTTATCATCTATCACCTGCATTCTTCATCCAGGTACCCAATTCGTACCCAATAAATCCATATCCTTCCTCACCTAAAAACATCCTGGCTGTGTCTGTGCAGGTATTGAAAGGCAGCCTTGGTGCAGATGTGCTTTTTGTGTTCCACAGTCTATTTCTAACATCTTCTTTTGTGATTGCAGCAGAGTTTGTGAGACTGGCGGACTTGCCATTACTGGAGGATCTGGTGTTTGTGGGCAATCCACTGGAAGAGAAATACTCTGCCGATCAGCAGAGCAGCTGGGTCGAGGAAGCAACCAAACGAGTGCCTAGGCTGAAAAAACTAGATGGTGAGCTTTAAGCAGCAGCTGGGTGGCATTTATTATACAAGATCTTTTGCTTAGTGTAATGAGAACAGTAGGGTATTGGCTCAGCACCTCAAAAGTACAACTGTGAGATCTGGAGGGGGGTGGGAACCAACTCAATGAGCAGCATTCTTCCTTTCAACACTTACTCTACTATGTGTTCACCTCTGCACAAGCGAAATTGTTCAGCCATAGCCTCAACTTCTTCTGAGAGTGGATTTTCGAGTGTTTGAAAGAGGGTGAGTGCTGTGGAGCTCCTCTGAATTGGCTTCAGCCTTCAAAGTGACTTCATTTACAACAAAGCCTATTTCAAATTGGACCTGTCATTTTGCATCATTAGTGCTTCAGAGAGGGTCTTGCTCTGATGTGTTGAACTAGTATCCAGTCAAAGTACTCATAACAGCAAAACTTAGAGGTGAACTGAAATGTGTTTTGATTTTTTGATAGACAATATTCGTTAAGATTTTAAATCTCTTGTGGAATTCACATGTTGACTTAATGATGAGACCCCAGTAATGTAAGTGGATTTATCTCCTAACACCCATGTTCAGGATTCTGGGTTTTCCCACAAGAGATGGTGAGAGGGAAAACACCTAGATCGTAGCAATGCGGGATGTTCTTTACCTTGATTCTAGGGCTAGGGATGTCATCAGCTCTTTCAGGGGAGACCCAGAATTCCAAGCTCTTGTCCTGGCAGGTAATAAAAGGGGAAATGATTTTCAAATATTGTGTTTTGTTTTTAAGCTTATTTAAAATTTTATGTTAATGGCTGATGATCATAAATCTTTCTGGTATTTATTTAAAAAGCAGCTCACTTCTCCTTTAAGGCAAATCTAAAGAGCTTCTCTGTTTGAATGGCTTCTAAAGGATGGAGAATAGTTTGGATAATAGTGGACAGCAAGTGGGAGAAGTGGGCAGGGTGGGTAGCGAGTGGTGAAAGCAGCAGTAGGAGAGGCAGGCAGGCGGGCAAATGAGTGAAGAATACAGTTGGGAGCAGAGAATGAGAAGTCAGAGCCTGAATTATTGAAGAGGTGGGAGGAAAGAGGACACTGAGACATGGCCAGAGAGAAATGTTGATATGAAGGATGGGCTGGAGCAACAGGTGCTGTGTGAGAAGAGTAGACAGCTGAATAGAGAAGCTGGTATGAGGCATGTATTTGTATGATCAAAGGGGTAACCCTTGTTTACATAATGACACCAGTGCACTGTTAGAGTGGCACACACCAAGATTTAAGAGTTAATCTGTGTTCCTCGTACCCTGTCAGCACGAGATCATGTACCTCCAAGAAGAAGGTGTGCAGCTCTCCTCTTGGGGTGGCTGCATTGTGGTGTCTCACCACAAACACTGTGCTTTCTCCAATGACCCAGTCGGGCAGAACGCTGACCCACTCATTATTGGTAGGCCATGCTTTAATATACTGTAGTCCCTGCTACTCAAGAAATGGGAGCAACAGCATAGAAGAGAGCTCTTAAGCTGAGGCCTGGGGTAGTGAAGGGAGAACCAACAGTTCGAATCAGGAAGGGAGGGGGATAGTCAGACGCATGGGAAGCTTGATTCGTTGTCTTCAGTTAAAAAGCAGTGTCAAAAGGCTGTTTCGCTGGTGGCGGCTTAAACTTGTTCTTGCTTCTCCTCTGCACACCTCGTTGACTAGCATTAGTAGTGGGTACTGCATCAGTGAGTCTTAGCAGACATTTTCTCTCTCTCTGTTTTAGGTGTCCCGGTTATTAAACAAGAAGAAGGTGAAGAAGGAGAAAACTAACACAACTCTTTCTTGTGTGGTATTATATTATTTAAGTTTCTTCAGAGCAATTCAGCACACAAAGCTTTTGTATAAATGTTTGTTTCAAAGAAAATCTATGGACAATTTTTTTTTAACTAACTCCTCTCCATACTCTCCTTTCCTCACCCAAAGAGTTAATTACCAAAACATGGGGACACTAACTTTGTACATTTCATGTGCTCTTCTGTGAGGACTATTGAAAGTGAGATTGTCTGTCTGATTAATGTAATGAGAGACCTTAACTAAAACTACATACTGATTTTTATCCCAATTAGTGATGATTGTAGATCTGTCTTTCTGGTTATGATAGAACTGTTTTTCTTGTTAACTGTGCAGCTGAACTTTTTTTTTTAATCATTTGAAACATGGAAACCAGAACAACAGTGTTTTGTTTTACACACTCTTTGCAGGCTAGGCTTTTTGTTATTTTTTAATACTGTCACGGGTAGAAACAGTTACTAACTGTAACTGGTTCTTCGAGATGTGATGCAGATGTGTGTGCGCACTCAGCGCCGAGCCTTTTGCCTAGCAGTACCTGTAGAGGGGCAGCATTTGCGTCTTGTGGCTGTGGGCCCTCCCCATGCTATATGAGGCGAAGCCATCCCGACCCCCCTCAGTTCCTTCGCACCAAAAGCCTATGAGAGGAGACTCCGATGCAGAGGGAATAGAGGGTGGGTCGTAGAATACACGCCTGCATCACAACTCGAAGAACCACAGTTACAGTAAGTAATCATTTCTTCTTCTTCAAATGGATGCAGACAAGTATTCTGCTTTGGTGACTTCTAAGAAAGCACCCCAATCTGGAACCGGGGCTTGGAGTCCACTGCAGTAGGGATTGTTTTTAAATCTTCCGCCCTTCTGAGGCCTTTGTTCCCTTTGGAAGATGCAGTAGTAGCATAATGGTCCATAAATGTATGTGTGGACAACCACGTGGCCACCCTGCAAATGTCCACTATGGAAATGTCACTGAGGAACGCTATGGACAGCACTTGCACCTTCATGGAGTGAGCCCGTATCCACGGAGGAGGTGTAGCCGAAGCTATCTCATACTCCGTCTTGATACAGCATGTTATCCATCTAGAGATGGTCTGTGTAGGGACCACTTGCCCGTTCATGAAGGCTGCATGTGACATGAACAGGCGAGGTGAAGTATGAACCGGTGGTCCTGTCGAGATAAAAGGCTAGACATCGCCTGACATCCAGAGAATGGAGATGCAGTTCTTCTGGGGAAGAGTGCGACTTAGGAAAAAACACAGACAGTGAGAAGGAACTGAGGGGGGGTTGGGCGGTGCCACCTCATATAGTCAGGGGAGGGGCCACAGTCACAAGGTGCATGCGCTGTCCCTCTACAAGTACTGCTCGGCAGAAGTCTGTGGTCCAGCGTGCTAGGCACACACACACACCGAAGTGGAATACACGTCTGCATTTACTCAAAGAAGAATCACTACTCCTCAACACTTCAAGAACGTGAGAGGCTGTCTTTTCTGCCCTTCTGAGCTCTGCCAGTTATCTGTAGTTCGGTAGGCCCAGTAGTTGTCATGGGCTCATGTTAGAAAAGGCAGTGAATGGTCTAATGATCTCCTGTCATTAGCAGTGGACCTATAACTGATCATCTTGAACTGCACTGGAACTCAAAACTTCATTACTGAGAAGGCCACGACTACCTTTTGATATATTTGTTTTTAAATGAAGCAATGGAAACTCTTTGCATAGTTTTTGGTGGAATTTAAGTACTTATTGTTTTTTTCTTTACATTGTTATAAGAAATTAGGCACTTTAGATTTGAATACATAGACTTTTACTAGCCAATAGCTGGCTTGTGGTACTAGCCGGAGAATGACTTTCTTTTTAGCTGACTGATTAATGTAGTCCTTCACAGCTCTGGAATATTCTACTAAACTAAGGAGGTTGATAGCTGTTCAGAAAACAAAAGACCTGGACTTGAAGGTATTTTTATAAGCTTTGATGGGGGGTATGCATTTGTTTCTAAAGCACAGATGTAGGCAGCTGAATGAAAGGTTTAGGTAGCTGCTGGGGAAAGGACAGAAGAGATTAGAAGTAGGAATTGGAAAATAAATATTGATAAAGAGCTAAATTGCTTTGCCACATGGTGACATCTTAGTGAAGTCCCCAGATGTGACAAGTAAATCCTTTTTAAATGAAATGAATGAAATGATGATTAGAGAAAGCACCACTGACCCCTAGAAAATGCATAAAATGACCTAAACAGGCCTTTTATCAGCTCAGATTGCTAAAGTTCTGGGTTTACTTTCCTATTCCTGGTACCAATTCAGTTTAATCAAATTAAAATGTCAGCAATGAGCATATTGCTGTATGAGGAGCAGAATGAGTGTGGGAGAGAAGTAGAACTTCATTCGTAATTTGTCTTGTGTTTCTAAAGCTGAAGCTGTGGTTGGATTTTTGGAATCCATACTCAAAGGTAGGAAAGTGGTGATGCAGTTGGCCCCAGGCAATAGCAGTATTCAGCTCCTGTTATGGTAGGCAGTACCATTACTTTCCCCCAGTCTAACTCTGGTAGAGTTCCAGCTCTGACAATCAATTTCTAAGTGACCAGTGTGAAGTAGAAGACTACAGGCAAAGTAATTCAATGCTATTAACTTATTTATAGCTACTCTGTACATTCCCACAGGAATATGTATGCCATATATGCCCAGTAATTGCCCGGTCATTGCAGGTAAGACTCAAATCTCATTTTAGGGTCTTTTCTTCCTTTTTAATGAACAGATGCAGAGAGTCCTCTGCCTTTGACAGTCTTCACCTAAGATAAAACTTTTCCAGACAGCCTGCTGTGCTGCCTTGAATGCAGTCTGACTCTATTCTCAGTGGTACTGTTGGTCATCTTATAGCCAACTTGCCATTCAAAAGTAATTTTCTAGGATTGCAGTCTCTCCTGGTGATCAGGACAAGACAGTACTGGCCATAGACAATACTGTTGGGAGATGGGTAAAGTTGGGAACTTTGTAGACAGCTAACTGTTGTTACCAGGCTTGTCATTTTGATCCCTTTCAGCACTAAATTCATTGAGAGTTAGTAATTAACAATTCTTTGGATAGGAGGTGGCTTTACACATTATTTTTAAACCCTACATTGATGATATACTCAGCCTCTGCTGCCGTCAACTCTTGTGTACAAGAACAGTAGGCTAGATTTGTGCCCTTGAATACTATAGTTAAAATATTAGCATTTCTCGGTGCAAGCCAAAGCCTGGGTGAGTATGAAACCTGACTAAATACTGCTAGCAAATGGAATTGCCAAGTAGGAACAGTCCTCTTCACATATTTTACGAACTCCTATGGAGGGTTGAGGAGGATTTTCAAAGTAATCTCTTAAGGAAAGCATCAGTCAGGTGGGACCTACTTTAGAATTGATTCACTCCTACTTGCTGAAATGAATTCCCTTCAAAAGTCTTGGTGTCCAGGTTTCCTAAAGTAACACATTCTGAAGCTGTTTGCACATGTGTAGCTTCAGTGCTAGTAGTAGGAGGTGGTTAACTGTAGTTTCTGTAATTCCTTTAGAGCGCTGCGTAGCACTTCCAGTTTGGGTTGTTTGCTGCAGAGCCATGACCAGAGCACAGCTAGCAAAAGTGACTCTGTTAGAGAAGTATGCCCTCAGGCACACTGAGCTTTGAGGCTGCCTCTGGCATATTCATGTAATGCTATTGCCCTCTGCTTTTCTTCTCCTTCTACCAATAGTGCATTCTCTGGCACTAGGTGGGAAGGAAGGGGTTAAGGAGGGGGGGGAAAGCAACTCCGAACAGTTGACAATAGCTCTAATACACATTTGAGAAGAATAGGCTATCATGTAGCCTGTGAGTATGGCTATCCTCAGAACAGTGGGCACAGAAGTAGCCATTTAGCTTTGTCATTTTAGTTAAGCATTCACCAATGGTATTGAACTAGCTATAGCCTCTTAACGTCCTTTTTTGTGGATGAAGGGCGGGTATGAAAAACACTTTCCGATGCTACCCACAGTCCTGCTGGTTGATTTATCTCCATGTAGAGTCATTGTAGTGTGCAAGTACACAGGCAGCATTTCCCAAGTCAGCGTCAACATTTGAGAACAGACTAGAAAGGTGCAGGAGAGGGGATTAGCACAAAACAGTGATATATTGAAAAGATTTGCAGGATAATCCAGGGTGATGGTTACAGAACAAAGTGCAATTCCTGCCGCCTCTGTCTTAAATATTAACAGTCTCTGTACAGCGAAGTCCAAGAGCAGCTCTTACAACCATTAAGGAATTGGTAGAATTGTGCTGGCCTTTTTGTGCTGCTGCTTGTGAATACAATGAAAATTCACCATTGATGGGGTTAGGCAGCCAATCTCATTGACATTAAAGTACATTTTATAACACAAAATGTATCCTGTAATAAATGTGAAATGGTAATTTAGGTGTGGAGGGGGAGTAACATCCTTTCTGATAAGACAAGAACTGAAATATCAGACTTATTTGAGAGTATTTGCTAAGGAACGCACCAAATGGGTTTCCTTTACTGTCAGCTGAAAAAGCTTTTTATCAAAATCAGATTTTTTTCCCCTAACAGTTGGCAGGAAAGCCCAGCTAAAGTCTTACCTTGCCTAATGTATTATGCTTACTCTTATGAACAAATCAAACTTTACATTTGCAAAATAAAATGAAGGGGGTTGATTTTTTTTAAAAGAAGATTTGCACTTTAAAAATTATGCACTGGATGTTGGTGGAAAGTATGGCAGATATGTAGCCGTAAGGAGTGGGGCCTACCAGTTAGGAGCCTAAGTACCTTTCAGGATCTGGGCCTAGCAGAGCAGGTTGTTGAAAGGATTTCCTTACACTCTGATCTTCCATGTCTCACCACATCTGTTATGATACCTAGCACCTAGTGATTTGATCATGGGTGAAAGGAGCACCCATGTAAAATTCTCAAGCCACGTGGAATCCTGCTTTCCCTCACAAACATAGTGTGGTCTCTCCCCACACTTCCCCCTTTTTTTCTTCTTGTAGAAATTTTCTACATTAAAGCGGAGTGTCAGTAAATGGATGGGTGTTTCCATGCTTGCCAACATATTGTCAGTCTCCAAGCAGCCAATGCATTCAGTAATTACACTGAAAACTGTTGCTAGAATGTGAGAAGGGAACTTAAAGCCAGCAGTGCTCAGTCTGTGTGTGGCTCACTCAGGTTACATGAGGGGTACTCGTGACTAGCCCAAGCTGCTGCACATGCCAGCACAGCCACACTGCTATTTTTAGCATGCTAGCGTGAGCTAAGGTAGCACTGCTGCCTAGGTTGCACTGGGAAGCATACACCCAGCTGCAATGCAGACATGAGAAGTCTCCACTTCTAGAACAAACTCCAAGTGGGAGAGCAGTTTTAACACCTAGTTTGTTGGTAATCTTTTATATACAAGTAATTTTGTAGCATGACCAAAATGTTAAACTTGCTGTGTATTAAGTTATTTAGGCCTAAATTCTAAATGTTACTTTGTGAAGTGTGTTCATAAATAGTAATAAATGTTATTTTATAAAGAAAAAGTGCCTCCCTGTTGTGTGTGATGATGAGCAATAGTTTGGCTTAAGGACAATTTATAGAACCTTATATCTATCTTATCCTCCATTTTTGTTCACATTCCTGTCCTAGCTTTACAGCATAAGGCTTTAGTGAAATGGTCTTATTCTTAATCCTCTTTATCCCTTTACCTTCTGTAATAGAAAATGTGACTTCAGCCCAGTCCCACTAACTCATCACCACTTCCCCTGTCACAGAAAAATCCTCTTTTTAATATTCTGAAACGATTATAAAATGGTCTGGAAAGCTTACAGAGCCTTGGTGTATTTCTTTAAGTTTATACTGCCTGAGTGGTTCTTGCAAAGCCAAACTTCTTACTCATCCATTACCTCAAATTTCCTTCCAAGGCCTTGTCTACGTTAGAAAAGGTTTGCTAGGATAGCTATGGCAATAAATTGCCCTACTGAGGACACAACTTATACCAGTTCCCGGAATGAACTAAGCGCTACTAGCAAATGCATGTTTTTGCCAGTATAACTCATCCTAAACCATGGGCATTGATGGTATAAAAATGTCATTAACCAATATTACTAGATTGACAACATTTTTAAGCACAGTCCTGGCCTTAGTAACCAACCCTAAATATGGAAAAATACACAAATTAGGTGGGGAAAAGAGTGGGAATGGTTGATTTAACCAGTTGCTTCCTTTTCTTAAAGGAAGTGGGTCCCATTTTGAGACTTCAAAATTTGATCTCTGTGACCCTTTGTAATGGTCCAAAGTTAGCGAAATGAAAAATCTGCATGGTTTAACCATTTCAGGGCTACACAGTCTACTTTTCAAGGCCAACACTGGACCCATTCTAATGTAGGTTAAATTTTGACAAATGTCCCTCAGACTTTGATTATATTGTTAAAAAGCCACAGTATTTAAGAAAGCACTTTGTTTTGCGATCAATAGCAATTCTGCTCCCTCTAAAACAACAGTTAAACAAAATACCATGTGCTTCTTTAACCACTGCCCTTGATTAGAAGCGTCCCTCATTTAGGCCCCATCTACATTGGAGCTGGAGAGCCGTGTTTAAGCTATGTATTAGATAAACCTTCTTCTAACACAGCTTGGCCATCTGCCATGGAATAAAGGTTTAAGTGGCTACACATTTACTATATAAGCCACAGGGGAAAGTAATTTAACTATGTGAGGCACCCTTGTTTACTCATCATTTATTTATTTATTAGCATGCCAGCAAGACACTGACTGTATAAAATTTTAGTGATGCACCTGTTTTGGTTACGAATCCAGGCACTTAGATGCAATGAGCACTATATAAACACCTAACTACAGTAACTAAAGACTATTTTTTAAGCCACAGGAATTATTATATTTATTAGGCATCACAGCTAAGACACCACCAGCTACAGGCAAAGCTGTGCTGCTTCATCAAGTAAACAAGATCAAACTCCTTCAAAGAGACATAATGATGTAATTTCTGGATAAAAACACGTGTTTATTTCCATGTGCTTATTTGCCAAAATGGAAGAGTTAAAAAAAACAAACCCAAACCTGACACGGATGTAAACAAGCAAATTATGGAGCAGAATGTAGTTTGCAGCTGGAATAACTGGGTATTTCTGCATCCTGTGCACTCAAGCATCAAACATGGGAGATGTATTACTACTAGCTCTAGGACTGCTCGAGGAAGTTATTCTAGCATGTTTTTTCCAATGCTACCAATTTACTGATCTTTCCTGGATTTCACACTTCAGGCACCTGTCACTGAAATGGAGGAGTCAAGCCACCACCATTTCATCTCCCCTAGCACTTGGCACGTAGCTGTGGTTTTAGGAGCTTGTAATGCCAGAAGTAGAATCCTATCACTTATTTACATCTTGGGAGTTGACCTGGAACCACTTTTCATGGGCTTCTGTAACTGTGCAGTAGGCTTTCTAGTTTGCATACATAAACACCAGAATTGGCATCTCTGAAAAGGGTGGGCAAGAACAGCAAACTCCTAGGACCAGTGCGGTGTTAACCAGACAGAGAATCTGAAACCGATTTGGTCCTTCTCTCCCATGCTGGGAGGGTGTTCAGTCTGTCCTGAAGAACTGCATTTTGAATTGTTTTACTGCAACCCTTCTGGCTGCTTCAGGAGCAGTACTGTAGACAAAATTCTCACTGTTAATTGCTTTCCTGGATATGACGAAGTTGCTGCAGGTCAATATGTTGTCTTGGGAAGAGGGTATATAGAGAAAAATGGAGACAGACCCTTGAGGATTCCTTGGGGTGACTGGGACTCGCAGGAGCTATTGTGCATTTTTGGATCACTGATCATACAAGGCAAAGGAGACTGGTAACATGAACCAGAACTGTTGTCTGTGTGTTACATGGACCACATTTAAGGATGCTTCAGACACCGTAACAGCTGAGATACAGCCCTTTCCACCTTCTATCTTAAAATGCTCAACCAAAACAACAGAAACTTCATCTATAAAACTTATTTTTAAACCTTATTTAATAAAAGGTTTAAAAAGATACACAGGGACATTAAGTAAATAAGTTACATGGGTACATTACATCACATCAGCAAGATTTCCTTTAGTGTATTAATATTTTATAAAAAGAGCACAAAAAATAAATTCAGTCTGGTCTATCACAACTGTACAGCAAAAAAAGGTAAATATTTTATATAGATATGTACACTATTTTAATATGTAACAGTCTTTTAAAAGGTGCCCTAAGCAGCAAACACACAAAAAGGCAGTGTCTGCTCATTTGTTAAAATAAAAGTAATATACTTTTTATAATAAAGCATTTATACAGTAATTACAGAGGCTGAGACTGTTCCTGTACAGTACAGAACAAAATAGGGTAAAACGCACACAAAAAAGCTATTTGTATCAAATCTAAGCTACAAAGGGAAAATAATACACTTTGAGAAGCTGGCGAACATGGAAAGAGGTTTTTAAAAATATGCAATTACATTTTATAAAAATATATGCCTTCTCCCAAACTTAAGGAGCTGGGATTTTCCAGGCTCAGCTGTTGATGGAATCCCCTGTTCGAGTAAGTATTTTTTTTTTTTGGACAGCTGGGGATTAGAATTTTGTATTTCTCCCAACAACTGACACAGGAAAGAATGCGGGTGAATGAAGCAGCTGAACCCAAATGGAAAATTTACAAAAAACACGCTTCTCATACAAAACAAAGCTGGCAGTACAGACACTGCTTCCTAATCTCTGAGAAATTTAATAAACTTCAAAAATATACATTGGAGGAGAATACGGTTTGTGTTGGCATGTTAGGGGAAAGAGTGCATGGGAAAATGTTCTAGCTTTTAACTGACAGCAGTAATCAGTAAATTATAGAGCTTTGCTTAGAAGACACTATCCTGGGGCTAGAACATTGTCATAATATCAAGTTCTCCTGTTGTAGACAAATACCGAAAGGAAACAAAGATATTTATGGACATAATCCCCACAATATTTATTTTAAAAGCAGGAGACTTTTATATCATCATGATTTTCTAGACCAGTGACTGGTAGAATGGGTACACCAGCTAACAGGCAGAGACATTTGTAAAAAGGTGCATTCTGTGCGGCTTAGGAAATACTTGTTTTTGTGTGTCAGCCACTTTATTCTTAATCTTAGTGTACACTAACTAAAAGCTTCATCCAATTAAATTCTTAAAGTCAATAAATAAAAATCAGCCACCCAGAAATCTGGTTAGCTAACTTTAATTTCACATTTCAACATCATCATAGGGATGAACAGATATTTTTAACAGACACTTTAGGTTCAGATTTCAAAGTTACCCTTTACCTGCTGTCATATAGCTGTGTTTCTACTAGTCGCTAGCTATCAAATACCAGGCTAGTAAACATATTTACCCCTCCATAGTCATTCAAAACATTATGTGCCACAGTAGGCTTTTTCATTTGTTTGTTATTATTTTGTAGCATCTTGGTAGACTTGAGATACATTTTCCTCAGAGCCAAGTACTTTCAGATCAGTTTTACCTGTTCAGTCCAGCCTGAAATATAACTGTGCTGAATAAATAAAAATGTGGAATTGCAGATAAATTGCAACATACCAGAGCTACAGTAGATTTGCATCTCTCCTTATATAACTACAGCTATAGAAACAAACACACTGCTACAAAACTGAAATGCTGTCCCTATGCAGATCACACTAGACAGCAGGTGTAATACTGAGTGCTTATAAAGCCAGGAACAGTGTAGGAAGGCAAAAGAGAAGATTTCCCACACGCACCCTGTCAGTATATCTCAATGGCATCCAGTGTCTGGTAGATTCAAATGGGTAATGTTTAAAATATGGCCAAATAGCAAGTAGGTTTACATTCTCACTTGACCTCCAACAGTGAAAAGGCTAGCACACTATGTTTACACATGCAGAATCGCAATCTACAAGGGGATTTTGTTTAAACATTGAATTTGTTCCCATAGAAAAGGCACTCTCTGTTAAGCAACCCCCACCAAATGTACTAACTCTACCTATTCCACCTCCACACACACTGAATTAGAACAGACTGACAAGCTGCAAAAGGTTAGGAGAGAAGATATCTGCATGGATGAAAAAACAACCAATGCTTGATTCATTAATATCTAATAAATCCACTAATTTTGTGCATTTAACAAAAAAAAAAAACACTTTCTACAGAGCAAAATCAATCAGCGCCCATGTCTAGATGGATGTCCCCTGGTATAAGAGAAAGAGGTAAAGAAGATCTAAGTAAGGAGCTAGTCTACTGGCTCCTAGAAATAGAACTTGCTATTAATCCCATAAGGAAGACTAAGTCAATGCATAGAGTAATTGCATGATCTGGTTGTTTCACCCTGTACTTCCTCACCCCTTCCCCTCCTGACTGACCACTACCATTGTTTGCCATGTCATAGCTACAACCAGACTGCGAGTTCTTTGTGGCAGTGACTAGACTTTGTTCTTTAAAGCACCAAACATACTTTGGGAGCATTTTAAAAATACTAAATCATTTTACTCAGGGCATAAT